GTGACAAAATAATAATTTATAAATTATCAAGGGTTCATGGCTGGGCGGGGGGCGGGGTGGGGGGAGTGGAACAGGAGGGGAATAAATGAGGAGCTGATACCAAGGGCTTAAGTGGAGACCAAATATTTTGAGAATGATGAGGCAATGAATGTACAAATGTGCTTGACACAATTGATGTATGTATGGATTATGATAAGAGTTTTATGAGCCCCTAATAAAATAATTTTTAAAAAAAGAAAGAACCAGAAAAAAAATCTACCTTTATCTGATAGACTAACTTTGCTAAGCATCATGTTCTCCATTTCCACATCTTGTAGTGAATTCATCATATTTTTGATGCATAATATTCCATGTATGAATGTCCCTGAGTTTGTTTATCCATTCCACTCTAATTTGAGTTTTTGATGGTTTCCATCTTTTTGCCATTATGGAAATTGCTGCAATAAACATAGATGTGCATGTCTGCCTGTATTGTGTTGTTTTTTACTTTAGGGTGTATACCAGTAGAGCGATTGCAGGATCAAAAGGCAATTGTGTTTACATTGATTTAAGGAGCATCCCATTCTTTTATTAGTTCAGTCCTATCTTCACTCCATAAATTGGCTATTTATGAATGTTCCAGAGCTATAATCTTTCCTTCACTGCTTTTACAGGATAGCCCTCTATTCCGGAATAATTACAGCAGGATCTTGTTTGCATTTTAAACACTTGCCAGAGGAAGTCCATTTTGAGGCAATGCATTTTAGAAATGAAGCCACAGGCCTGCAATGTATTTTATAGTTTAAACCTGGTAGTCCCCTCTATTCATATTTACAACAAACAAGTCATTATGCATTCCTGCTATTCCTATCTACGTTCTTCTGTCTAATCCTTCTCTTCCTTGCCTTCTTCTACCTGACGATAGATCTGCTAGCTTCTATCGAGCTCTAGCTGGTAGCTGTTGCTAGCCCTTTAGGAGGTTCTTCTACCCTGACTGTGGTTTACTTCTAGAAGTCTAATGGTTATTTAAATTCCTGCAAACAAACACATGGCATGCAAGATAGCGTTCTGAACAAGTTACTGCATTTATGGGTGATCATCTCTAAAGAGGAATATATAGAACATATTTGGGGTAATCCAGCCTTTCCCTCACGGAGTTAGTTAAACAGGACACACATTTGAACCAGGGAGAAAAACACTGTGTTGGTTAAGGTTATGTGTCAACTTGACTGGATCAAGGTTCTCAGTAATTTGGAAGTTATATCGTGATGTAATTTGTCCGTTCTATAATAATATAATTAAAAATAATAATAATGTAATTATTTCCCATGATGTGACCAGTCAATTGTGAGAGGAGTTTCTTCAGAACTGTGGCCGACTTGCTCTGCTATACGAGGGGATAACACCGCCCCACCCCCCCACCCCCACCTCCCGGAAAAAGCTCTGCTGGGTGGTGGAGCTTTTGTAGTATGCATTTTTCCCACTAGGCAAGCATGGGCAACTTGTTCTGAGTTAGTGTAGCCAGTGGCATCACCTGGGAAGGTTCTCTCTGAATGTTTTTGTAAAGGCAGTTTCACTTGAACCTTTTTGTGTGTGTGTGTGATGGCTGATTTAAGAGAACAGCATGTGGTTGTGAAATTTTTTTTTCCCACTGGTGAAAAATGCCACAGCAACTGTTGTGATGTTGAACAAGGCTTATAGCACTATGGGAAAAACTCAAGTGTTCGAGTGGTTTTCTTGTTTCAGAAAAGGTGAAACGTCAATTGATGACAAACCTCATTCTGGACATCTGTCAACTTCCCGAACAGATGAAAATGTTGACAAAATTCATGCATTTGTGCTCAAAGAGAGATGACAGACAATTGAAGAGATGGGGAAGTTATCGGGAATGTCTTGGAGCTCTGTTCAGCTTCCAATTTTGACAGAAGATTTGTGAATGAGAAGGGCCACTGTGACATTCGTGCCCTGGGTTCTGACTGACCAAGAAAAAGAGCATCAAGTGGAAACAAGTGCTTTGAAAAAACAGCTCTGAAGCAACACAGACTTTTTCCCCAAGGTCATTACTAGTGACAAGACATGGTGCTATTCTGACGACCCCCAAGAACAAGCATCCATATAATAGTGGAAGACGCCATTGTCACCTCACTCCCTAAAAGCTCAAGTGAAATCAAAGATCAAGACGAATGCTCATTTGGCTCTTTTTGTGATGTGAGTGGGATAATGCATTTGGAGTTCATTCCACCGAGTCAGACTGTTTAGTTTTCTATGTAGAGGTTCTGAAAAAGAAACGTGATTTGTGGCAAACAGGACAGGTTTTTATTTTATTTTTAGAAATCATTTTTAGGGGCCTCTTAGAGGTCTTAAAACAAACCATACATTAATTAATTCAACTATATTTGTACATATATTACCATCATCATTTTCAAAATATTTTCTTTCTACTTGAGCCGTTGGTATCAGTTCATCTTTTTCTCCTCTCTATTCCACCTTCCCATATTGACTGCTTGATAAATTATAAATTATTATCGTTTTCATATCTTACACCATCCACTGTCTCCCTTCACTCACATTTCTGTTGTCCATCCCCCTCTGGGGGAAGTGGGAGGTTATACATCGATCATTGTAATAGGTTCCCAGTCCCCCCCACCTTTTTCCCCCACCTTCCCCTTACCCTCATGGTATCACTACTCCCATTATTGTTCCTGAGGGACTTATTTGTCCTGGATTCTGCGTGTTGAGAGTTCTTATCTGTACCAGTGTACACGCTCTGGTCTAACCAGATTTTAATGTAGAACTTGGGTCATGATAGTGGGGAGAAAGAAGCAATAAAGAACTAGAGGAATGCTGTGTGTTTTTTCAGTGCTATACTGCACCCTGGCTGGCTCATTCCTACCTTGTGACCCTTCTGTAAGAAAATGTCCAATGCTCTACAGATGGGCTTTAGGTCTCCATTCTGATCCCCATCATTTGCATCAATATGATTTTCTGGGGAGGGTCTTCTAATGCCAACCATGTTGACACCTTGTGATCACACAGGTTGGTGTGCTTCTTCCATGATGGCTTTGTTGCTTCTCTGCCAGATGGCTGATTATTCAACTTCAAGCCTTTAAGACTCCAGACACTCTATCTCCTAACAGCCAGTCACCACCAGCTTTCTTCACCACGTTTGCTTATGAACCCATTTTGTCTTCAGTGATTGTGTCGGGATGGTGAGCATCACAGAATGCCAGGCTATTAGAACAAAATATTCTTGCATTGAGGGAGGACTTGAGTAGAGGCTCAATATCTATATGCTACCTTAGTACTTAACATATAAATATATGTACATAAACCTATATCCTTATTGTTTATATATGACTATGTTTGCATAGCTACATGCCTATATTTATACCTCTATAAATATCTTTTGCCTCCTAGTTCTTTCCTCTATTTGTTTTTAATTTCCTCCTTTCCAGGGGATAGGCTTTGTCAATGTGATAATGCATCTGCTCATGCAGCCATCTCAGTGTGCCAATTTTGGGCAAAACCCAGCATGCCTCTCTCAATATGCCCCAATTATTTTGCTTTTCTAGAAAGCCCAGTCTAAGGCATTTAGTACTTAGAGCGAATCTAGAAAAATGGTAAGGATGCATTTTATAAAAACATTTTGGTTATTCTCAAAGATATTTATAGTTCTTCTAGGAAAAAATTCATGTCATGAGATGATGTTACCCCAAATTTTAGGTCCTTTTCCTGAATCAGGGCGTTCCATTAATAATCACTTTGGTGAACAATAGGACATGAAAATGACACAGAAAGTGAAGCCTTTGGGTATGGATGAATAGCTGAGAAAGAGAAAAGGAAGTTAGAAGAAAAGATGTTTGTTATTTTCATTCTATAAAAAATGAGAACTGCTTCAACGATTTTCTATCCACCTCACCTACCCACACACTTTGGACCTCACTGCTAGGTATTGGTACAATGTGGAAAATTCTGGATTATTCACTGTGCATTTCATAAGTTAGTCTTCCTAAGCAAATGCTCAGTGTGAGACAGGATTGCAGAGTTTCATGATATTCAGGGAAACACAAACAGTGCTGTCCCTAAGGAAAGATTGAATGGAGTCTGTGGAGAGGTAATATACTGAGATCTCAAGACAGAAATCACAATGGGAAAGGCATTTCGATGAAGATTTACCTTTCTCCGGTTAACAGGGATGAATGTTCTAGATCCTTAAGAGAACGACACTGGGTTTGGAAACTCAGAGTATTTATTATAAATTTTTTCAGCATTACAGTAATGGAGAAAACAGAATTCGTGTTTATTTTGGGAAACAAAATATAAATGATTCTTCACAGATATAATTGTTCTGCAAACAGCACTACATGGTGCTAAGCTCAACATCATCGTATCCAAGGTCTTCCCCTTGCCCGTGGACCACTGAGGAAGCTTTCCCGTCCACTTGGGGGTAAGCAGCTTTGCTAGGAGACTCCAGAGAGTCACCTGAAACAAGAAGGACAGTTCTGGTTACAGCAGTGACACAAAGACAGGACGGAGGCCCTTGGTGGAAGGACAGACTAGTACAGAGAGGTCCCAAGTATCTGTGGACACTCCGTGCTTGTCTGAAAGACTAGAACCACCACATACTGCTCGGGTGCTCTGTGCAAAGCCTAGTGCTGATCGTGACCGTTGGTAAGAAGATCAGCCAGTAATGAGAAAGCCTGGGAGAGAGATGGACATTCTTCTTCAATACTACTCTAAACTGAAGAATCAAGGCAAAAATCCCTTCTCTAGATACCCTAGTATCTCACTAAACAGACAGTAAACAGACAATCCTTACCTCAAACTACTCATGAGAATCTCATAGGTCCTTGGTCAGATGCCAGGCAAGGCCTCTCATGTTATATATAGTCCCTTGCTCCTCAAGGACCATTTAGTGATACCTCAGCATGAGTCCTGGTCAAGGGCAATGCTACTCTTTCTCTGTCCATTCATATACTGAGAAGTAATTATCTTTTTGTTTCCTTTTAGTTGCGAGACTTTCAGACTTGAACTGAGGCCACTGTACATTTTACAATAAAACTGGGCAATGTCACCTACTCTCTAGGTCAGAAAACTAGCTCAGGCATTCAATGTTTTTGCTGTTAAAGAGATTTCCCAGGTAAGTTCTCATGATCTTAAAAAGTCTCCTATTTATTGGCAGAACGCATGTCCCATTAGGGCGTAAAATACATGAAGAAAAGCTCCACATCTCATTATGCAGACCACTCCCATTGAGGGGATGGTAGGTATGGAACGGAGGGCACAATGGGACCATGTGAAGAAGCGATAAATGGCTACAAAATTCAAAGCCATGGAACAGTCCATCTCTGGATGTAGGAAGTTAAGCAGATCGTGACAGAGCAGGAAACACAAATGAGCACTGGACAGTCCAAACTGACTGTCCTTCTGATGAAATAGTAAGACTCTGGAGCAGAGCGCTCCACTCACCTGCCTGGGAATACCTAGCATAAACTCTTTCCTCCGGGAGAAATTGTTTGTCACTCATTGCTGGGGTAGGAGAAGTTTCAGGAAAAGGCACCTCGTCAGTGTCATCATAACCATTTTCAGAGGCATCAGCAGGGCTTCCTGGAGGTTCTGAAAGCAGGCAAGGATGTCAGGTGGAACAGCTAATAATTGCTGGCCTAAGCGGTATGCTCAATTTCTTCTAATACAGAGATCCTAGCTGGTCCATACAGGCCCCAGATTTCAAAGGCATTCCAAAGGCACATATTTGATCTCAATATATTAGAATGTATTTAGACTAAATATGCTTTTCTACAATGGTCTTTCATACCTAAATATATAATAAAAGTTATTGTATTATGATTTTCAACATACAGTAAAAGAGTTGTAACCCATAGTATGTACACACCAGTGACTGAGGGAGGGTGAACTTGAGGTTGCTCACTACCTTCTGAGGCTATGAGAGACACACAGTTCTCAGAGGGACAGCCAGGTGGGTATCTATCATGCAGAGACAGGAGAACCCACCAATCCCAGTCACGGAGGTCTGACTTTAAATCCCCTCCAGTGCTCTGATGACCTCAGGATCCCATTTTGACAAAGCCCTTCTGGACATACCCCATCCATCCCAAGAGCTAACCAGCTCTACTTCCTGGGGAAAACTCAGGGAAAAGTTTCCGGTCTTATAAAAACAAGCCCCAATCCGTAGTTTGAGTCAATTCAGACCCAGTGACCTCGTAGCACAGTGTAGAATGGTCCCCAAGGTTTCAAAGCTGCTCTCTTTATGGGAGCAGATTGCTGCCGAGCAGCTGGTCCCTTTGAGCCGCTTACCTTGGGGGTAGCAGTTGGATGTTTAAACACGGCATCACCAGGTCCCTGGCTTTAGATCTGAGGCCCCATACCCATGTCAGTATGAGCTCCTCATGGTTGATCAGTGTAACACTACGTGCTCCATTTATTCCAGGGCTTTATTACATCAACTTCTCCCTTATCTCAATATACATCTAAACCACCAAATAATCCAAATATCACACTACCTCAGGTTCGAAAGCATATTTTCCAGTGTTCTCTCATCTGGAATATTAGAGATTGCTCGTTCTAAGTGTTATTTTAAAAACATAGCCTCTGAGTTGATACCCACACAATAAATGCACGTCTGTACTTGAATAGAAGTAGTTGTGGACACAGAAGCTGAGCTAGAGTTTTCCCCTCCTGGGGTCACAGAGCAGGCAGGGAATAAGGCGTTGTTGCACCAGAGATAAGAGACCCTTTCCATCCCAAGCACGGAAGAAATCTTTGGATGGGATTCTTCTTCCACAACCCAACCATCCAAAGACGATCTGTTCCTATTACCTGGAGCAGATTCAGGATCTTCTTCCTCCTCATTGTCCCCAGTGTAGTATGGCAGCTTAGTCATTGAGTCATCAGACATGTTTTCTAGTAGGGAAAAAAATCACAGACAACAAGCAAAACTTTTCCTACAGAAGGAGGTTTAATGTCAAGTTTCAGAAGAAATCTTGAGTCTTTAGACGAGCAGAGACAGGGGTGGTGTTCCTGCCTGAAAACAATGCTGCCATGTACTGCTAGAGGCTGTGTGCTTCCTGAAGAGCCCCACCGCGATAGCCAGCACGCGGACAGAAGGGAGGACAGGATACACACCTGAGAGCTCCAAAAGCTTCCCCTTTTCTGGGTTGACAAGGTAGTCAATGTCCTCATACAAGGCCTCCTCAAGAGCATCTTCAAACGCGTGTGAGTCTGCGGAAAGCAATGAGAGCTCAGAGACAGCCTCTAGATGGTGCACTTATTAACGGGCAAAGCCTTCTGTTGTTCCCAATGCTCACCCTTGGAGAAACCCCCTGGACTGTCAGGCACAGTCTTCAGCCTGCGCCCTTTTGGGTTAAAACTAGGTCCTGCATCTTGGTCTGATAGTCAAACTCCACTGAAAAGAGTTACTCTTTCTGAGAGTTTCCACACTGACCAGGACCACGGATTTAATGATGCAGACCCTGGAGTCTATTGTACAGAAGGTGGAGTTTTTCCAGATGACCAGAATAAAGACTAAAACGTGTGCATTTCCCTTGATCTCACAAGTGGCCCAACACATTGCTCCCATTCTTTCCGGTTCCTTTGGAATCCCTGAGCCCCACCTCGGTGCTCTGCTCTCCGTCTGTGCAGCTGCGTTCCCAGGATGATGAAGACCAGGAAGAGAAGAGCCCCTAGGATGACACAGAGGACCCAAGGCAGGGAGAAGATGCCAGAGTCCCGGGGGGAGGGTGCAATGTTGCCTGGGGAGAGACAAGGGGCCTTCAGACTTTAGAGAGGATCTGAAGTTCAGTAGCTTTCCTGAACTCAGCCTCTCTTTCGTCCTTGGAACCAGGAGAGTGTCAGCTCAGGTCACACAGCTCTTGTCCCTCAAGATGTGCCTGACCTAGAAGGGGCTCTCAATGTGTCACCTGGGTTCTGAATGTGGTCCTAAGGGTTCTTTACATGCCGGTGAACATTAGGATCCCCGTCTTGTCATAACAGGGCAATTAATACCTGACAATGTCTAATTGTGCCTATCCTTAAATATCTGGATGTCTTCTCTATCACACATTTGGAGCCTAAGAAACACTTACCTTTAGTGGTGGAAGGAGATGCTGTCCTCTCTCCTGGAATGAAGAGAAAGAAAATGGGAACACTGGGGAAGCCACCATGTCACACCTATTATCATGTAATATTCTCTCAGTTCTCAGGAGACAACATATCCCTGTCTGTAAAGCCAGAGCACAGGCCAGCAGGTGTGCCCAGGAAGTGCTTCTGGATACAAATTCAGTCTCCTTTCAACCTTTGCTATTGCTCCCAACTCCTGCACTCACCTGAGCACCTCACTCCAGCATCCTCTTCATGCTTGCAGTTACTAGGCCCCCAGGGCTGAGCTGCACAGGCCCACAGGGAGGACTCCCTGCCCCTGCACTGCACATTATCCAGCCAGATGCTCCCATTTCCTGGACCAAAGGCAGCCCCGTGCAGAGCTTCCAGGGCAGAGCCACAGCCCAGCTGCTGACACACCACCTGGGCCTCTGCCAGGCTCCAGGAGTCATCACACACGGTGCCCCAGGAGCCACTGTGCCAGATCTCCACTCTTCCTGAGCACTGGGTGTCTCCTCCCCTGAGGCGGAGCTTCTCTCTGTCTGGAAGCAGCAACAGTTCCATTACTGACCATTTGGGAGGCAGTGAGAACCAGTGAGAGGTGTGAGCAGTGAACTACCTGTGCACGGAGTAGTGGTCGGGCAGCTCTTGGGTTTCTTTCCTGAAGAAATAGACAACAGGGAAGAACTGGGTTAGAGAGAGCTGAGGACTGGACAGAAGTTCAAATCAGTACTAGGTTTGAGTCTTTCAGGACAGGACATCCTAGGTCTCACTGAGCATAAAGGGAAAGGCAATTCACGAGCTTAGTGAAATCAGAAGCTTCATATCCCCTCCAATAGATGAACAAGAGGGACATAAAGTGATGCGTTATGTTTCTTCTTTAGTATATAGTATCATTAAGAATACGTGATTGGGGCTAATGGTCAAACTCTTGATTGTGAGCCCACACCTTTCTATTTTGAATCAGAGGTGCCTTGGGAGAGAGACCTAGGGACCTGCTTCTGAAAAGACACAGCATGTCCACCCCCAGGAGCAGCTCTCCTTAGTACACAGTGCGTTGCTTTGAGTAGGAATCAACTCATTGATAAGGAACAATGACAATGATCCCAAGAAGCAAAATAGAAACTTTTGGACCCTAGTTAGCTTCATTGATAAGGTGAGAATTAAGGACATTTTGTATTTTTTACAGAAATTGGTGAGGGGCATGGCCATGACCAATTCTTCTACTCCCAATAATCCTGTGCTTTCTTGCCTGAGATAGGACGAGGTTTGTGAATGTTGGTCAGGGTGTGCTTCAGAGGGATGGATATCTTTCCCCTCTCATACTGTAATACTCTGGGATGCTGAAAATGTCTGTAAGTTTGTTGTAGTGTGGGGACTTATTCTGTGTTGCTATAATACTGGAAGCTATGCTGTAGGCATTTCAAATACCAGCGAGGTTTCTTACAGTGAACAGACTAAGCTAGCAGACTAAGAACAGGCTAGGAAGAAGGAAGAGGTGGTATACATCTAAAATAGTAGCCACTGAAAACCGTATGAATAGCAATAGAACATTGTCTGATATTGGGCTGGTTAAAAGATTTTACTTAGGTTAAAAGATACTCACAATATGACTGAAGAAAGGCTGC